AAAAGCGGTCAGCCGTTTATATATAAGGATTAAAAATGAAAACAGATTATTAATAATTTAAGCAAATGTTTGGGAAATTTTATCAAATTACCCTCTGTTGTTTAAACTGATTTGAGATGAATACTAATGTTAATTTACTTTAAGACAAAATTACCAAACTAATAACACCATACTTTTACCTTTATGTTAGACTTCCAATTTAGGTCAGCTGTTTCATACTTGTCAGCTTTAGTCATTAGTTTTTAAACACGCAGAACAAAAACCTCTCTCTCCTTTAAACTACTTGCAGTAAGATGTCCCTTTCTAACAATCTGGGTACCAGAAATCCTATTTGTTTTCTTTTCAATGCCTTAGTACAACAAATTGAAAGGAAGCTGTAGAAGAGTAGAAGATACTGACTTACTAAGAAATGTTATGTAAACTACATCTATACAGTATGCTTTGGATCAGCACTATATTACTTAATTTTCTTTTTGTGATATCCAAATAATCCAAATAATGTAATTTCTGATAGATGTATATTTAAGTTTTTCACTTAGACACCTACATTTATGACGTCAATAAGTACAGCATTATATACATTTCTAGAAGTTAACAGAACTGATAAAACAATAAAGCAGCACTTACTGTGCAAAAGTTCTATCAACAAGGTCCATGTGGTTAATTTTCACAATACATTCATTTTCATGGAAAAGTCCATCACGCCTGGACCTGCTGTTCTCCTCAATACCACGAATAAAGAGTCCTAACATCCTGAAAAGCACCAATAAAAGTAATGATTATCCTTGATAGAAATACTAGAAATCTAATAATTAAAAATAGGTACTGATCTCTATACATGGAAAAAGTTTACTTATGGTCTCTTAATCCTACCCTAGTTCTTAAAGTAATGATTTCTAAAATCTTTATTAATGAGCAAGATGCTCCAACAAAAATATTAAATCAGCCAATAATAACTTAGTATACTTGTAGCAGGACACTGGGGTGCCTGCTACTAGTAATACTGGTGTGGGCTTAGCTGCCAAGCTTCAGGGCCGCCCAGGTGAGGGTTGCTAGAGCAACTGATTGAGTCAGCTGACCACCAGGGGGCAGGGCCAGGCCTTTATAAACAGCCCAGGCCGGAGCCTAGCTAGTTAGTTACCTTCTGGCTGCTGGAGAAGCAAGAGCTCTGCAGCAGAATTGAGCTGGGTTGAGCAGAATGATAGACCCAGCAGCTGCATCATGTTACAGGGTAGAGAGAACCCTGACCTGGAGGCTGGGCAGGAGATGCCTGTGGGACCGGAGTGAGTTATAGCCGGTAGGCTTATTGTTCTGTTACAGCCGGTGTGCTTAGGGTTCTGTTTAGTTCATTGTGTAAATACCGGAGGACCAGGTGAGGCTGTAGGGGCGCGAGGAGGCCTCACGGGAGCTCCCCAGTAGTCTGGGGGTTCCTGGGTGCCCTGTTTGGGCACAGAGCAGTGCCTGGGAGGCATGGCTATTTGGCACCAGTGTGGTGCAGTGTGTGGGGGTTGAGACCCCAGCCCAAAGGCAGTATTCTGCCCAGTCAGGCGAAGGACCCCGAGAAGGGCCAGGGGGCCAGGCACGGCTGCATGCCACCTGAGCCCCGAGCGCAGTTTAGCGTGGGACAGAGCCCAGAGAGGGCGATAGCGCGGAAAGCGCAGGGCAGAGCCCTGGAGGGGGTGAGAGCATTGCAGTGAGCCCTGGAGGGGGCGGGAGCATTGTGGTGAGCCCTGAGCATGGAAAGCGCGTGTATAGGCCCCAGTGAGGGCGAAGAGCGCGGCAAGTGCGAGATAGGCCCGAGTGCAGGTGAGAAGTAGCTTGAATAGGGCGGAAGACCCGGAGAAGGGTCAAGGGGCCAGGCACGGCTACGGGCCACCTGAGCCCCGAGCGCAAGAGGCGCAGACATAGGTCCCAGAGAAGGGTGAGGGCGTGAGAAGCGCGGGACAAGCCCCAGAGAAGGGTGAGGGCGTGAGAAGCGCAGACATAGGCCCCAGCGAGGGCGAGCGCGAGAAGCGCGATTAAAAGCCCAGAGTAGGGCAAGTGCGTGGGTGGAGGCCTGAGGCCGGGCCGGTGCGTGCAATCTAGAGCTTGAAGAAGGGTGAACACACGAGTAGGCCCCAGAGAGGGGCGAGGGCTAGCGAACACAGGGGCACTAGAGCAAGGGGCGTCGGTTGCATGACAAGCCCGGGGCGCCCGAGCAAGGGCGTGGGTTGCGTGACAAGCCCAAGGTGCCAGGCAAGGCACAAGTGACCAGACAACGTCTGGAACAGCCGCGAGGCTTGGGGCGTGCTAAAGGGGAGGTAGGAGGCACGCATAGCCCATAAGGCTGGGGGTGCACCAGGTCAACCGTAGAGAGTAGGAGCCCGGACAATCATAACACCCAGGACTAGGAGATCAAAGGCAGCCTCCCATATTAAATTATATCATCAAAGACTTGGTGGGCAAGAATCAGAGGGTGCTGGATCTCCTAATTTGGCACGGCAGGGGGCGCTAGCGGGATCACGGCCACTCCTAGGGCCCACTCCGTGACAATACTAATACTGTAATTCTTCCAACACTTCAGAAAGTGCTAAGCCAGAAGATGGAGAAGTGAAAGAGAGAGCCAGATTTCCCTGTCCAATCAAAATGTTAGAATATATAATGTTATAAAACATGTGCATATATTACTAAATACAATTAAATCACTACTAAAATCCATCTCTGCCATTATGGTTAAGGAAAGAATAATGGTTTTAATTAGATTGGGAGGCTCACCTGGGCCTAGAGTGAGTGAGGATTTAGTTAGGGAGCTTCTGGAGGGGCTGGACGTTTAAGTCAGCTGGCCCGGATGATCTTCACCCTAGAGTCCTGAAGGAACTCGCTGGGGTCATTGCAAGTCC